ATTAGCACCTTATTTGTAATGAAATTGAATACACACATATCCCATTCACTATCCTTACAAAAAAATTATGTCAGGAGATTATCATGATTTGACTACATCTTATTCTAATACAGAGAATTAAAAAATATTTTATTGTTATTTTCTCAGACTTTTCATTCATTTGATTAAATCAGTTTTTGTTTACATCGTCTCTTTGACGAGAGATGAAGATCTAATTAAATTAATAGGAATTTACTGAAATATATATTCGATTAATCTATATTATCACAGATACCATTACATCAATCAACAACCTTTTACTGCAAAGTTAATTCTTTAGTGCGCTGAATGTTCATTGAACATAAAATCTTACAAAATAGGAAATTTGTTAACTCGATACCATAATATATAACTAATGAAAATTGAATCCCCATTTCTTGATATTGAAAAAAAAATTTATCATGTTAATTTCGAATTTTAAAATTTTAAAATTTTTTTTAAAATGAAACATTCGATTGTGTATATAAATCCTATTCTAATTTGAGTTACTAAAATTGATTTAAGATTTAAAATAATGATTTTTTCTATCTATAAATCGTCATCATTTCACGTGTAGATCATAATTTTCATCTAAATCATAATAAGAACAACATTCTAATGAGCTTATATTTATGACCCCCATTTTTTAAGAAATTCAAAATAATCTTTCACATGCATGTGTGATAATTTTATGTATGGTCCAAACATCCGTTCTACATAAGAAAACTAATGTGATATCATACCAATTATGAAACAATTTAGAATATATGCATATCATATAGTTTTTCATTCATAGATCACATTTTGGCTAGAAATTGTCTTCAATTTAGAGATAAAAATAACTCAAATAAATTAAATTTGAAGTTCATGACCTAGTTAATTATCCGATTTTGATACAATACTTTTCACCAGCAATCATATTTTATTCGCAAGCCCCATATTATGCTTTTGTTGTATATTTAAACCTATTCAGTTACAATGAGTTTTGATTCGGCAAGGAGAGAAGCAGGCTTTGAAAGGCATGTTGTTGCTGCATATTTTGGGAATTCACCGCCTCTGGAATTATGACCACGTATTCTCACCGCTTGGGTTTGACCACCGGTACCTCGTTATATGCCTGCTATCAGGAATAACATGCCGCCCACCGCGCACGATGATGGACTGAGTAAACCTGAAGCTTTGAAGTCGGAATCCGAGAACGTACGAACGATATCGTTCGTCTGGTCTTGCAGCATGAGTAGCTGTGGGGCTTTTGGATTGACTGGGGTTTGCACGTTCGTACAAGTAGTGTGTGCGACTATACATTTCTTTCATTTGAACAGAACAATGATCGAGCTTGTGATTCATGCATCGAGGTCAAGAACTTTCACATAGAGATCCGAGATTACAAGCAGGCAGACGTGATTATGATCATGGACTTAAACCATAAGAAAGCTCGGTATCACACAGCGAGTTGAATAGGCGGTCATCGGTTGTGAGCACTGATCACGAAGCCGAAGCAGTCACAACGCGCCATTTACCTTTACATGCATGGAGGCAATTGTTAGGTTTCAGCAGTATGTACTTTACATGGGAAGCCATTGTACGAGGCATGTCTAGCTAGTTGCACAACTTATCCAATCCTGTCTAGAGTATCCGCCCAAGCTCTTCCTATCTACAGTTGCAAATATCACGCACCTTCTTCTTTGACTATAAAGTTGAATCAGGCATCGTCTGGATATTATATGCTCATAGAGCCAGATGAGTACCTTTTACATATGATTTATGACTGCACATGACACATAGATAGCTTGTTTACCAATTGGGTGTCACTTTAAATCTATACAACCTTGTTCAAGAAACTGTACTCCATTTAACTTTGACTGATGGTAATGTATGCATTTACCATTTACCATTGGCTTTGTAGTTATAGTATACAAGATAAATAATTTCTATAAAAACAACTAGAGAGGGAATCTTTGCGCCACCTATCATATGCTCAACTTTACATCTTATGAGAGTAAAATCAAAATTTATCCATCCCCATATGGTTGTCCTCCTTCAACGGTGAAGCACTGCATAGCAAATTTTTGCAAATATCAATGTTGGCTTTTCCAAGAGCAAGCATGTGTCTCCTCTTGTCTTATGTGTCTTAGTTATCAGCTCCTATACTCATTATGTTGTTAAGATATACTTCATTCTAAATAAAGGACAAAAATGGGGAAAAAAACCACTGATAATGGATGGCTACACACTCCAGGTAAGAATGCATATGTGAGACACAAAAGAATTCAAGATTCAATTGTGAGGATAAGTAAATTGGATCAAATCTAGATCATATCTTAACTTGAATGGTTGGTAAATACAAGACTCGCCTTGTAGGTTTTATCTTCAGCATATGCTTATCTTGACTAAAAAATAGTTATCTTATACATTATATTAGAATTGTTTTAAGATTAGTACTTGTGAGTAAAAGTAAACACGAACAAAATGTACATTTAAGAAAAATCTCACTTTCATTTGAACAACATGATTGGCACGTCCTGATAAATCATGAAATGATATATACCGCTTTCTAATCTCAACGTTCGTACTGTAGACACTATGTGCAGTCAAGAACTCGAAGGTTTCTAAGTTCAACGTTCTTTTTGTAGGCTTTAGGTGAAGTGAAGAAGTCCCTGGTTTAACGAGTCTTCTGGGCTGAAATATTCAACTGAGCTCAAAATACGTGTTTAAAAAGCAGCGAAATCAGTGGCTTGATTCTCATATACTCTTCAGGGCTTTTTCCTGTGCTTTGTACTTTTTAGATAAGTTCCCACAAAAACATCAAATGAGAGTCTTCAGCATCTTCACTTTCTTATGTACAGTGAACTGGCGGAACATCAATACAAGCCGGAACTGAGAAATATTATACTAAACAATTGCCAGTTGGGAATTAAAATTTTCTAAAAATGTGGACCACTGAGAAATAAAGAATTATATTGTGCATTTTCTAGAAGTAGTTGCACTAAGTCAACGCCAAAAAATATGTAGGAGAGCGCTGGTGTATTGGTAGTTAGTGCCAAAAAATATTTCATGTATACTATAATGTGAGAAAAAAATCTTACCAAACCATCTAATGAGAGTTTCAACCAATCATGTGACCAACTGCAACACTTTAGTAAAGATTTCATATAATTACACCAATAGACACATGCTCAACCCAAAAATTCTGGGCCGTAATCATCGTGAGATTACACAAGAAAGAAACCAAATAATATGCAAAAAAAGAGATAATAACTTCTCAAGTAAATTGGCACAAGAGCGATTTGTAGTTTCCTAATGAAACATAATTTTTTTTCTAATACTTCGCTGCATTCCAACCTGAATGAATGACAAACTAAGCATTAAGTCATTCATAAGATTTTTCAATTGACTTTTTCTATCAAAATTTCATTTCTTCAGGGCTTGTTGAACTTAAATGAGAAACGCCTAAATAGTGTTGGTGTGTGTAGGTATGTTAAGATACGCTTCAAAAAATTACTAACCATGTCCCAATCACCTCCTTGTTTCAACTTTGATAATAAAGTTGTAAGACTCAATAGTGAAATTGTACTATTTGAATATAATTAACTTAGATTAATGCATCTAAATAAAACATGCCAAGACTCTTAGCGCAAAAAATTATAAAAAAATTGAAGATGCTAAAATAAAAAAATGAAAATCTTCAAGGCGTTAAGATTTCTTATGAAAAATGTAATGCTCACACTTTTGTTAAAAAATTTACCGTTTGAAACCAATTATTATAACTTCTTTATGAAATAACATTTGGAGATCGGAATAAAGATGCAAATTTTACTAGAAATCTAATAGAAAGGTACTTAATCACAGTTTTATATTTTGTTACAAAATTTTAGGTGAATATGATTTACAAAAAAGAGAGAAAATTTAAGACATCAATTAACACGGTTGCGTCTCAACCATTTTATCGGATTAGTGTTGTGCTTTAATCTTCTCATTTGATTTATGATATGAGCGAATCAGTGCATAACTTACAGTATGACTTGCTCCATTTTAGGTAATATATAAAACATATTTGAGTTTCCATGTATGCTTGTCTTCTCCCTTAGATGTTAAACGAGATCTTCATCTCAAGTCATGACTTAGTATTACCCAACATTTAGTATATGAGGTATTTTTCATCTCATGTTTACAACACAATTTTTCTTCACTTGCAAGCAAGTTCGAAAAATGTAAATTCTTGAGAGGATTGGCGGTTGACCTTAACAAGTATCATGCTGGTTCTATCGTGTTCTATACGATGTGATAAACTAACATGAGTGCTCTTAGCTCGCGCGGAGGAAGTCCAATCCTGCTTAAGGCCATCTTCCAAAGCGTCTCCAGTCACTCCTTCCCATAGATGACAAGAAAGCGATCTCAACTGCCTCAGAGAATCGAGATCCAAAGTTAGTCACAAAGACATTCCGTCCGATTATTCCGCGGGTCTGAAGGAGTCAAAGAAGCACCTCATTCGGCCCTTTGTACAGCACATGTCGGTGGACAATCGGAATAGGCCATGTTTTTTTATTCATTTCCTTGTTTATAGCATTATGTATATACATATTTTATGATAAAAAAGGACTCAGCCACTCCTCGGTGTGTAGAATTTGTGCTAAGAGGTTGAATCCGGGTTATATATGTTACGTCATGACTATAGCTTTTGGTGACAAGAGATTCTTTCATGACGTAGGCTGCCCCACGACGTTATTAGAAAGCTGTGATATTAACACGACCTGACGTGATACACTCACTCCTTTAACACTCCAGTCTGCGGCATCGTAAAAAGAAGTGCACTCCTTGGTCATAAGATTGTCTGGATCTAATTGGCTATTTGGCGTGATAATTGTGCACGCCAAGTAGTACAGTAGACAGTACCGAAATTCTCTGGATCAGCCACATCATCTTCTCAACTGTTGAGGCAGGCTCGGAGCTGCCTTGAAACCACATCTCCGAGTAGCTGAGTATTTCAGTCAGCACACTTTCGAGGCTCCCAAAACTCTTGTAGTCCAGAACTCTGCAATTGCCAGTCGTTCCCATTTGCAGCACATAATTTGGACTCTTAATGGGATCAGAATTTCCCCCAGGACTCTGAGCGGGGCCTCTGATCTCGGTACTCAGTAGAAGGTAGTTGGCAGATCATACGTCCCTACAGAAAAGTAAAAGGAGAAGTGTAGTCAGGTTATGGTACCGAAATAGCATTCTTCAGCTGGCATTGGGAGAACTGAAGCAGTCACAGTAATCGACCATGGAGAAAACTACTTCGTTGGTAATTGTGTGCTTGCTGCAACTGACGGCATCAGCCATCAGTAAAAAGGATGCTCCTACATGTACGAAGAGGATCGACACGCATTGTCATTTCGTGCCACCATTCTACGCTGAGCTGCTGCAGGAGAACAACATCACTGCAGGAGGACGGGCAATTCCTTCATGGAGCGCTATCCAACATCTGGAAGTGATGGATCTGTTGAATGTGTCTTTGTCCATCGTTGCAATTTCGACGCCTGCGGCTGTTCTCACGCGGGACTATCCGGTGAATGAAAGCCGCCAGCTCGCTCGACGGCTCAACGAGTATGCTTACAACCTGTCCATGGAGTACCCGCAGAGGTTCAGCTTCTTCGCCACTTTGACTCTACCGGACGTCGAGGGATCCGTTGCCGAAGCTATATATGCACTCGACACTCTGAACGCTGCAGGCGTCATGATTCTCGCCACTAGCTCCGATGAACTGCTCGGTAGTCCACGTTTTGATCCTCTATATGCTGAGCTAGACAAACGAAACGCCACCGTCTTCGTGCATCCGAGCCAATCTCCATGTCCCGGGCAGCAGTCATGTAAGATTTCCATCATTTCTCAACCTAGCATCTGGAAAGCAACTCCCTTATTTCCTATGTCTAGTTTAAGATGACCAAATGTTTGTTGTCTGTCACTCTATCGAGGAACGCCTGGAAGCCTGTTACTAGTGTCTTTGAGGACCAGATTCAGCTCTGCTGACTGAAGAGAATACTGAAGAAAACCGCGTTTGAAGATCTGTCGTTTCTTTCGCTTCCCCATTAAAAAATTTGCTAAAATACTTCATAACTCCTTCTGAGGGGAGCTAACTAACCAAAGGCGTCTATCGATCTGTTGATTTTTCGGATGGCCATTAGCACCAGTCAACGAAGGCAGTACGGCACTCCCTCCTTTCGCAGTGGATTTCCTCCTGGACACGACGCGAGCGGCAGCGAATCTGATATTCAGAAACGTGACGCTAAAGTACCCGAACGTGAAGCACATTTTCGCTCATTCCGGAGGGTTCCTTCCATTCGCTACCTTTCGTATCGTGAAAATCTTGAAGGGGTTGACGAACCAAACAGAGGAGGCCATCATGTCTCAGTTGGAGAAATTCTACGTGGACACGGCGCTGTCGGCCTCCAAGTACGCGCTTCCCAGCACCATTTCGCTTCTGGGCACCAACCACTTGACTTTCGGCAGTGACTACCCTTTTGCTCCAGCTGATGCTTACGTTCCTAATACTGAGAATTTGGATCAATTCCTCAGGAAAGATTTGACCATAAGAGCCCAAAAACAGATCAATTTCAAAACTGCCGCTGATTTGTTCAGCCACGTACTCTAAGATTACATTCTGAGAACCATGGGTCACTGATGGGATACATACAGGAATAGAAAGGGATTATATCATATGCATAAGCTATCATTCTAGAGGTCAGATTCGTGATTGATGACAAAATCCTCTTTGTCATCAATCAAATTCTTTTCAATCTTGATACTAACATAGGTTTCAATTACCCACCCACCTGCTTAACAGTTCAGCAATGTCAGCGATGATTGTCGCAGCTGGTATTATTGGCGCTGTCAAATCTTATGTCACCTTGCTATTCTCGTGCCAGTCGCTAGGAAGCTTCATTCATATCTCAGTCATGACCATAAAAAACAGAAGTCCACAAATCAAACATAAAAAGCGGCTACGACTTTTATAGACGCCTATAAAAGTCTTAGAGAGTTACATTGGAGTTAGCGGTGCGGTCAGCTCCGATAAAAGAGGTTGGAGAGACTTTCTCTACCAACTGTACATTCGTATGCTGAGCAAGAAGTCAACAATAAGAGTGACAAAAGTTATGTTTTGTCAAAAAATGTATATGTAAAAAATATACCGCTTCCGTTTTTGGATGTTATGTAATTACATACATCCAAAGAGAAGAATTTTTCTAAGATGTAACGCTGAGGACCATGATGAATAAGAAAACCTTGAGTCCAATTGGGAGTCCAGTCGAGATATACCAGGACACTCGCACGGAAGATGGCGAGAGCTAAGATGCTTTAGATCCGAGGACGAGTGCAATGGCGTAGAGCGAGCAAATTTTGAAATGCTTTAAATGAGAATGCAATCTAGAGATGTGTTGCGGGTTTGTTTACTTTTTATTAGTAACTTTGGTTTTATCTTGGTGAATGGGTGATGAAGAAAGTGACTTTTTAGATTACAAAGAAGAACATGCCACAAGCAGATTTGCAAACTCTAGTGACAGCTCGTTTGAGTCTCAAAGCTACAAATGCAAGTTGGTCTTTAAGTTCTTTTGGATTATCGTAAAATGTGATAATATACTTTAGCAAAAGATATTTATTTCGCCTTTTTTCAGGCTACAATGATACCCATATCCATCTGCTGCTTCCAAAAGGTGACATTAGGCAAAAAGAAGACAAAATAACTGTCATTGCGTTCAAAAGTATTACTATGACCAAAAGTGTTGTCAACGAGCAACAACATTTTATGTGTTGTTCGTACGCAACTATAAGGCTCAAAGATCTTATCAAACCACTTATTAAATGTTATAACATCAATCCAAGTGTTATTTTGATGAAAATAAGGAATGTACTAAGCAGACAAGTTTCTTTGACTTTCCAATGATTGTGATTAGGACTCAATCTGTTTCTCTGTCGTTGCAAACAAGATTAATGTTATCAATTTCTTTCATCCTTTTTTGTCATAGAAAGTGGTTAGATCTTCATGACGCATCAGCACAATCGTGAAACAATTCAAAAGAATAAACCCGTTTCATTTATATTGTAAAACATATGCTGGATCATATTGGCCTGCTAGTAAAGAAAATTCTTTCAAAGCTTTGAACCTTTCTAGATTCTATTTTATTTATCTCGCCACCTTTTACAAACAAATTTACGTTGTTTAAATCGTGTTGATGTCAAAATCTAGCAAACCAGCCCCACAATGCATTGAATTTATCATCATCAACCTTAATTGCGGTTGTAATGTTTTTTGCTTTGTGTCAAATAATGCTAGCTTATCAAGCAAAGCTTGGCATCTTGCATCAATTGATTTAAAAAGTTTTTTATCAACATCAGCAAACATCGACAAAGAAGCAGTGACTCCTCAGTCGCTAGATAGACCCTCTATGCTCCTCACAAATTTCATGTTTGCTAGCTTTTTTCTTTCAAATTACTTTTTTCATCAAGGGAGAACTGTCAAACAATGTTGCGCATGGACGACGGCTTTGACGTCTTTAGTAAATTGATGATTTTCATTAGATAACGGTCATTTAGACGCATCATTTTGCCTTTATGCTTAGATATTTACTCCACGTTCATAATATAAAATAAACTAATCAAAACCAGGTTTTTCTTTATCATGTTAATAAGATTTTTCTGAAAAACTTGAAATTGTGAATCAATATGAAATTGGGTCTAAAAATTCGATTTGAATTTAAAATTTGAAATCAGAATATAAATTCAAAAGCAAATCTCACATTTAAAAATCTAAACTGAAACTCAAAATCTTGTACTAAATTTGAAAATTTGAACTCCCTTTTGAAATCATAACTTAAATGTTTAGAACTAAAATTTAAGATTGAACATAAAATTTGGGTTGAAATTTGACTATAAAGTACTGAAACCGTGACATCATTTAGCAACAGAAATCTACATGTGAATCATTTGTCCTTAGACTAAAAATTGACTTTGAAGACATTGACTTTCACTTTAGATATTATTAAAATGAAACCATTTGACATTGTAGACGTAGCCAACCTACGTCTACAACGTCTACGGGTTGATTACAATCATTTGGTAGCCAACCTACTGAATGATTGGAATCAAACTGGGTCCAGAGGTGAAGGACAAAAAGTTAATGATGTGTGGTAAATGGTAAATGGTAATAGGGAAACCTTCACGTTTGAAGAATTGCCTAAGATCAAAAAATCAGCAATATGCATAAACTGCAGTCCGAGATCAAATTATCAGAAAAAAATGAGAGCGTTTTTGTTTATCTCAACAGGTGCGCTTCATTCAAGGATATTCACGAATGGCATGAATATCAACGATCGACCTGGATGATCAAAGTCAAAGGGAGAAAATAACAAGTAATCAATTGTCTATTATATAATTTTTGTTATCAATTGTAGACGCTTCAACCACAAAAAAATTCCTAGAAGCTATTGCTTAATATTATTATTGCATAAGCACATCATTCCAACGGATTGAAGATACAAATTTGATTTAAGCAATCAAAATGTAACAGGCCGATAATGGTCTACTATCTAATCACAATATATATATAAATAACCTAGTATTTGTTGGATTTGTGTTACGATGAGATGAAGAAGAGATGTATTGTAAAATTATCTACTTTTTTATCACCCTTTTGTCTAGTGATTGACAGTTGGTCTAATATTCAAAGTGAACCTTTTGTAAATTACATGGCAACCAGTTTATTCTAAGAGTCTTTATACACTGAGCCAAAAAAATATAAAGCTAAATAGATTACTCAAGACATTAATTGTGCTATCCAAAAACTACCAAACATGATTTCCCCTAGCGCCATCATAGATAATATCTCGGAAAATAAAAAGGTATGAATGTTGTAAAACAGAATTTTCTAATAAATTATTTCAGGTATATATTTTGCATGCTCTTCATCTTATGGTGAAGGATTTATTTTTGATGCAACAAAGACACAAAAATGAGAAAATACTGTTGCATTTTATCCTTCTTGCTATCTACTTGAGAGTCTCTTACTTTTTGCTGAGAAGTATAAAGATGTTGTCGAATTCTTTGATAATCATAATGCGATGAAAGTGAAATTTAAAATTATGCAGACGAAATAGAAATTGATTTCTTTGATTAAGCCTGCCTCAACTAGATAGGGTTCACTTCAGCACTACTTTAACACAATTCTAAAGTCAAAAAAGCTACTACTTTTTATCATTTTGAAGCGTGATTTTGTTGATGAAATTGCTAGTGCAGCACAGAAAATTAAAAGCGATTGAATCGAGTAGATTATCATCGATGTCACATTTGTTATGCAAGAAAAGAAGCGTTTGAATCTTCTTGAGCCCATCAATAAGCTTATAGTCAAATATCAATTACAATCTTTATCTTTGTCAGATATTTTTGCTTATTTTAATCAACTTTGGAATAATTTTGCTACATTTTACATTTGCAAAATGATTTGATGAAAAATTACAAAATTTTGTTTTGTTGTACTCACAACGTTTTCAATTCATGTACAATGATGCACCTATCTTGCTTATTTACTCAATCCGCAATATCTAGGTGAAGGATTCAATCATGTACAACATTTTGAGCTAGAAGATGTTTTAATAAATTTATCCCATGATTTCACATCACTTTTCAAAGATAAAAAATAAGACTTGTGCATATAGTATACAGAGTTAATTATTGCATCAAATTAGAAGAAGTCCAATAACTCGTTACGGTTCATGATGTTCATCGATGGACGCAAAACATCATTGTTGGCTAGCACGTGTTGGCAAAACATCATTGTTGTTCAATATTGGCTAGCCAATGGTTGCTCTTAGAAATATTTCCATAGCATCTCAATTTGAAATTTTAGCATGGTGACTTCAACGCATCTTTGGAACACAATTGTTCCATGTTTGAATTTGTTTATTCAAAACTTTGCAATAGTCAATTACCTGAGAAAGTTGAAAATGATGTTCATTAAGACAAACTATTAGGCTTTATCAAAAAATAACAGTAGCACACTATTATTTAAAGTTGACAGATTTTTTGATCTTGATAGCGCTGATGACTTAGCAATATTTGAATTTCTTTATTCAATCTTGTGAAAGTGAACTCGAATTGGAAATGAATTTTGGATTCGATTTGTTGATTTTGAATTTGTTGAAAACTCTCCATATTGTCAGTTTGGTCATAACTTTGATTGGAATTGACAAGAAAGTCAATTTCTGATTCCATTGGTTGATTTTGAGTTTAGTACAACCTTTTCACATGATCATAAGTTTGATTAGAACTGAATTGAAAATCAATTTTGAATTTGATTTTACTTGATTACTTGAACCTGTAAACACAAGAAACAAAAGTACTTATTCCACATGCTAATATCATGGAAGCAGTAATTTTGTCCTCTAATATGCGGCTTCATGCGAGCTTGTCTTATGATTGTATTCTCGCTCGTAAACTTCAAATAATTCTCCACATTACAGCAAATTATCTCAAACGGTTCTCGCCTCAAGTTCTCAAAATCTCAAAACCTCAAAGACAGGATTTTCATTCATGCAAGCCCGTTCCGGGCAGTATAAGATTTGCTTGTGTGTCGGGAAAAAAAAATATGTTGGGGCGGATGGATGGGGCGGGGGAGGTTCATTCGCCGTCGTCGGGATTTGCGATGCGAGAGAGTGTTGATGGTAAATACTATGGCGCTATTGATCATTTTGAAGGACCTTGATCCGTGTTTAGGGCTGTGATGCACAACTCCTCTGCCTCATTCTCGTCAAATGTGAGCCTTTGTGCTATCCACTTGAAAATGATATCTAACATAGCAATGTACACGATCACCGAAAGTGAGGTAATCTTTGTTGATAGCTTGCAGATTAAAACCATGATTGGAATCGGATTTTTTAAGGTTTTAATTAAAAACCCAAGATATTTGTTAAGAAGAATCGGGTTTTTTTCACCCCTTACCAGAACCTCCTTCACGGCGGAATTCAAGAATCAGAATGATGTCATTCATCGCAGAATTTTATTGACAGTGTGCTCGTGGAAGTACAACCTTGCTTAAGGCCCCCTTCCACAACATCTCTAGTCACTCCATTCGATGGATGACAAGAAAGCAATCTCTATTGCCTCAGAATCTAGATCCAAAATTAGTCACGCAGAGCTGCAAAAGTCTGTAAATTTTGTCTGATTACTTGAGTGGGTCTCATGGAACCAAGGAAGCACCTCATTCGACCCTTTGTGTAGGACATTTGGCTGGACAATCGGAACAGGACATGTGCATAGCAACATTGATTGGATAGACTGACTTGTAGGTAGAAGAAATATACATTCACATCGATTGGCCAATGCAGTAAAAAAATACTCATTTGTATCATTGTGCACAAAGTCTTCTACTCACAATGCCGGAGATACAATCACGCATGCTTGAACACCTTTATAATGAGCAGATGCAGATTTATTGACATCAACGTCGCGTGAAGAGTGAGGAAAGAAGCATCATTCTAAACCTCCTTCACATCGCCAAAGGCCCTAATATTACCTGTGAGCACAAAACTGTGCTCACATGTCTTTTTACCCTTATGAGAGTTAAAAGTTGGGATTTAAGCTCTTGCAAAATTATGCTTGGGGTTTTTTGAAAGTTTCTGCAAGATTAGGAGTTGGTGTGATGGTTAGGGGGCAAGAGGTGCGGAAGGAGGCCTTCGGGGCAAGGTCTTCGGCGAAGTGCCTTCGGTGAAATCCCTTCGGGGAAAGGCCTTCGGCGAAGGAGTGAAACTCTCATAACGTTTTCAATGTGTGACGCCTCGACTCAATTAGGGTTTCGTTGAAAAGAACTCGCGACGCTCGTTCCAACGAGCCCAATAACTTGTGAAACGGATGAGAGGTCACTGAGTTATGAGTGGCGGAAGTTTCTGATACAGAGGGCCCTTCGGCCTGTGCACGGGCGAGCCTCGCAGGGCGGACGAGCCTCGACGGACGGGCGAGCCTCGACGGACGGACACCTGCGCACGGACGCGGACGCTCATAACTTTCTCAATTCTTAGCGGTTTGACTTGATTCGGCTCTCGTTGGAAAGAGCTCGCGACGCTCTTTCCAACAAGACCAAAAACTCTTGAAACGGATGAGGCATCACCGAGTTAGGAGCGGCAGAAGTTTCTGATATGGAGGACCTTCGGCGCTAACATTTAGTGGGGCATTCGGCGTTAACAGTTAGAGGGGCGGCTGACGACGCGGACGGACGAGCCTCGACGGACGGGCGAGCCTCGCAGGGCGGACGAGCCTCGACGGACGGACACCTGCGCACGGACGCGGACGCCTGTGCACCGGCGGGCTGCGAGTAGGCGGCCTGTGCACAGGCAGGCCTTCGGCGGAAGGGTAAAATCGACATAACATTTTCAATTCTTAACGGTTTGCGTTGGGTGGGGTCTCGTTGGAAAGAACTCGTGACGCTCGTTCCAACGAGCCCAAGAACGCCTGAAACGGATGAGAATTTAGGGAGTTATGACTATTGGAAAATCCGCCTTCGGCCCTAGATGTTCGCCTTCAGGGTTACGCTTCCGGGAATTCCGCCTTCGGAGGTAGGGAGTTCAACTTTTGTCCGATGCGCGGACGGACGCCTTCGGCGGTTGCAGGCCTTCGGCGGAAGAGTAAAACAGTGATAACTTTCTCAATTCTTATCCGTTTGACTTGATTAGGGGCTCGTTGGAAAGAGCTCGCCACGCTCGTTCCAACGAGCCCAGGAACGTTGCAAACGAAGCAGGGATCCGTGAGTTATGGGCGTCGGGGTGACTGTTAGAGATTGACAAGGTGTGGAAGTGCGTCTTTGGCGGTTGGACGCATTCGGCGGTGCGCGGAAGGAGATTTCCTCCGGCGAGGATCGGGTGGTCATGAATGTAGAATGTTCAGGTGTGGCAGTGGCGGCGGCGTGAAGTCAAGTTGGTGTGGCAGAGACGGCGGGGCATAAAGTCGCGCATGGGAAGTAGGTGTGACCCATCATTGCGGGTGGGGCATTAAGGCAGGCTGTGGTGTGTTCGGCCTGGAAGCTGAGGCCTGGTGGGGAGTTCGGCCTTGGGGCGGAGAGCTGGAGTGTACCAGTGTGCGCGAGCTGGATCGTGTGGTGTGCCATTGTGTGGAGACGCTGGTGGGATCGGTAGGACGATAGAGTGTGGAGAGTTCGAAGGAAGAGGAAGCAAACTCTCGTGGGTGGAGAGTTGTATCTGAGTGTGAAATTAGATCGGGATCTGATATTGAAGTGTAATCTGTGAGTGGGATCCGAGATTGAAGTGTAATCTGTGAGTGGGATCCGAGATTGAAGTGTAATCTGTGAGTGGGATCTGAAATTGAAGTGACATCTGTGAGTGGAAGACCTGAGAATGGGATCTGAGATTGAAGTGTAATCTGTGAGTGGGATCCGAGATTGAAGTGTAATCTGTGAGTGGGATCCGAGATTGAAGTGTAATCTGTGAGTGGGATCTGAAATTGAAGTGACATCTGTGAGTGGAAGACCTGAGAATGGGATCTGAGATTGAAGTGTAATCTGTGAGTGGGAGCTGAGATTGAAGTGTAATCTGTGAGTGGGATCTGAGATTGAAATGTAATCTGTGAGTGGGAGCTGAGAGTGAAGCGAAATCTGAGACTGAAATCTGATAGTCGGGATCTGAATTTGAAACTGAAAAGGGAGAGTGGAATCTGAGTATGAATTGGTAGTGGAACTCGAAGCTAGGATAGACCACAGCGGTTGTGGTATTGAGAAAGTTACCCAGAGTTGGGTTAGATCTTTATGTAACAAAGAGCTTGTCTGCTGCTCTTGTGGAGATAGCAGATAGCAAGTTATTATTTTCAATTCTGGATAAATTGTCTGTGAAAGAGCAAGTGTTATGATCTCATTGTCTTGAATACACTTTGACCACATGGTTGAGATCAGAGAAGTTAGATTATGGGAGCTCGAACCCCCACCTGGACTACAAACGCTGAAGGGTGGGGAGTTTAGGCTCACATTACCCTAAGTCCGCACCAACCTTTGCAGATCAAAGTGCGGACTTAAGTGAGTGTATACTATAATGTACTCTAAGGTAAGTGGTCTAGCAAGTAGAGTATGCATGTTGGAAAATGATCTACGTGAGAGAAGTCGTCTTGGTTTTCATTGAAGTCGGTTGAAAGCACAAGGCAGTCACATACCTCTTCATTCTTACCTTTTGTATTTCTTGTTTTAGTTTAAACATTCTAGATATCAACAAGAGAAACCATGGCAATGGTATACTCTCCTTAAGAAAAATATTCTGGAGGTTTTCTTTCTCAAAATGCAAGTTTTACAACTTGCAATTTGAGACATGTACATTATAGAAATATTTTTGTACTGGATGCAACACTAACTACGTTGAAAAAAAATTTCTTCAAAATTTCTTGTCATATTGACTTGGTTTTTTTATATAATACATAATTATCCAAAACCATATTTTTTGAAAAAAATTTCCCAACATCTAATATAAATATTTCAAATATAATATATTATTCTAAAAAGAGAAATGTATATGTGAAGCAATAAGAGTTTCAAGCTTCATTATAAATGTTATTTGGTCATGAAATAATTCTATGTACTATGAAATTTCTCCACGTCTTCTTACTTTTAATAACGATCATTATCATCAACACATGATTCAGCTGCATTTACCTTGATCGCAGACCAAATATCATGAATAAAATGCTCCACACTATAGTACGCAATGCAATTCGTTATTTTAACATATAATATGAAAATAATTATATTAAACGTCATAAAATTCAAATTTGGGCCACTAGTAGGTGAGCGCAAGATATTGATTATAAATTTTATTGTCAAGATAAAATTATCATGTATGAAAAGAACAGGAATTCGTGCATGATTTATAATGGTTTTCAATGCAATAACTGTGTGAAAAACTGGATACCATGAAATTTCTGTTGGATTAAATTCAGAGTTCATTTTTTCACCCGGAGCTGAAAAATAAGGAGATCAGGTGCGCCAGCTGAACAACAAGTTTTTAACTAGCCTGGACATGGGAAGTTTTGCCTTTGCATTCCTCCCTAAACTCCTCATCACTCTACTCGGGCCACTCTTCAACCGGATTCATTTGAACAAAATTATTTTACTCAAGCTTCAAATCTTGGAAAAACTGCTGAGACTAATAGACAATGCAGAGTAACATCATCGTACTCTCGTGCATTGAAGTGTTGTCAAGCTTGAGTTTGACTTTGTTTTCTCTGCTTTCACCTGCACTGAAACTTTTCCTTGATAATTGGACGTGACGGCTATTTCAGTATCCTTTCTGATATTCCTGCCAATGCCCACTCTGAAATACCTCTTCATGTTGTATTTTCATCTCGTGGCAGTCTCCAAAGGCTGATTCGTACGTGAAATAAATAATTAAAATTATTTAATTTCGTTTAATTTCCATGTTTATAGCATTATGTACATACATTATTATGATCGAAAAGGACTCAGCCACTCCTTGGTGTGTAGAATTTGTGCTAAGAGGTTGAATCCGGCTATATATGTTATGTCATGACTATAGCTTTTGGTATCAAGAGACTTTTCCAAGATCGAAGCAAAACAATTTTTAACATGCGGAGTGCAAAGTTAGAAAGCCTTGAACTGATTGTTCCAACCACAAGATGCAGGTATTTATGGAATCATTCTCTGTCATGAATTCATCTGTTCCGTTTCATGTTCATATTGCCCCAGAGAAGATTTGGGATGAAATCTTTCGAAAACAATTAACACAATAATTTATCAGGCATACAACAGTCTAAGATTACTATTCCGTAATGGTCTTTTATTCCAGTTCAGAGGAAGCTCCCACTTACCTCGTGAAAGCTTTATACCCTGTCGACAAACCCATACTAAACCTCTGAAAATAAATTTTATTATCTTCTTGTGGAAGAAGGACAATGGGGAAAAGGTTCATCAATCACAACCTACCATGTGAATTGTCTTGTTCTCCGCATCCGCATTTACCTCGATCCATCTTTCTCTAAGTGATTCAGCTCATGCATTTATATACGCATGCAACTGGCAGTTCCAGTTCTCTAGAATGAGATGGGTTGCAGCACAACTTCCAAGTCTGCCATAGCAGTACGTGCTTCTGCCATAAGTTTCTGGACATGGACACTGCAAGTGTTCCTGCAGACATTTGCGTGAAGCTGAGCAGAAGTCCATGTCAGTCAAGATTTCATACCCCGCTAGAACTCCCAAACTCGTTCTGCTTTATGCTCTGAAAGAGCAGAAAAATATTAAGTCCGGCGATGATAGTGGCGACTAGACAAGCAACCACTTTGACGATCCAGCCATTAACGAAGCTGGGTCCCATTTTGGCTGTCGAGCTCGTGAAGTGAACCAAGGGAATGACCGCGAACGACAAAGTCAGAGAGAGAAGCACTTGGCTCATAACCAGAAGCCTTCCAGCTCCAGAGTTGCCTCCGACGGCAGCAACGATGGTGGCAGGAATGACAGCAATACCTCGAGTGATGGACCTTCTGATCCAAGGCTTAACCCGGATCTTCAGAAATCCCTCCATCACAATCTGACCGGCCAGGGTACCGATGATGGTAGAATTCTGCCCACTTGCCAACAGACCAACTCCGAATAATATCTTGGCAGCTTGACTTCCCAGCGCAGGAGCCAGCAGTTCGTAAGCATCGGTGATATTTGCTACATCTCGGTTGGGATTGGGACCGTAGTAGAAGGCAGCAGCTGCCAGAATGAGAATCGACGAATTAACAAAAAAAGCGAGCATCAACGAAACGCTGGAGTCCCATCTACCATACTTGATAGCCATCTTCTTGCCCTCCTTGGTCCGTGGGTACGCCCTAGTCTGAATAATGCTGGAGTGCAAAAAGAGACTATGAGGCATGACGGTGGCTCCCAGGATTCCTATTGCAGTGTACAACATGCTTGCATCCTGGAGAATGATTGGATCTGGCACCAACCCCTTGGCCACCTTACTCCACTCGGGCTTCACCACCGCCAGCTCGTAAGCGAAAATGCCTGCTATCAGGAATGCCATGCCACCCACGATGAACTCCAGAAACCTGAAGCTTTTGATTCCAAAGATGAGGATAAACAATGTGTCCACGGCTGTTATGAGCACCCCGGCCCAGATGGGGATTTTGAACAGAAGATAGAGAGCTGTGGCGGAGCCGATCACCTCAGCAAGATCGGTGGCAGCAATGGCAATCTCGATGATTACCCAGAGGAAGTAGACGACATGCTTGGGGTATGCATCTCGGCACGCTTGAGCCAAGTCTCGCTCGGCCACCACTCCGAGTTTCAGAGACAGCGACTGGAGGAAGATGGCGCACAGGTTGGAGAGCAGAATGACGGTCAGAAGAGTGTAGCCATACTTCGCACCTCCTTCCAGGTCCGTGGCCCAGTTTCCAGGATCCATGTAAGCAACGCTTATCATGAATCCGAGCCCGACAAGAGCGAGAACCTTCTTGTACCAAGGGGATCCGGCCTCAGGCCATTTCACAGAAGAGTGAACTTCCACGAGAGAAGGTGCAAAATTCGCTTGCCTCCAGCCTCTTGTCAGAAATGCCTCCCGCTCCGCCATCTCCAGTTCGTCCGCGCTTAACTTTCCGCCGCCTCCCGCTTCTAGAGCCACCATCTCAGTTGAAGACGGATCCATCTCCCCGCTTTCTTCACCTGCAGGACGAACTGAAGAAGGGAGATCACCCTGCCCCCATCCTTGCCCCAGAGAAGCGCCTCCCATAGTCATCACAGCACTGCACTCTCTGATGGAGATCACTGACTGCCAAGTCTACTGGAACGAGCAAATCTGTGATTCATTCACTCTGTGGCAAGCGCAGCCAGGCTCAGAAGGATCGACCTTTCAGTTGGTCAGAGAGCGCTTTACAGCTCGGACCGACAGGAAAACATAGATTCTGATCTGTCGCTTGGATATCGAAGGATTCGAGTCGGGCCTAGGTCCAGTCAATGGGATGCATCCGTGCTCTCGGAGGAAAGGAAGGAAGGAGTTACACCTTGATTTCCTGCCTTTTGAGTGCTGCAACACAAGGCTTAAATAGGGGTCTGATTCATACTGAGATGTTCGTTGGGACGCGAGCTGTACTGCGGCAGCCACTGTGTGCTTCCCCGATAAGACTCCTGAATTCGCAGCACTGCAGCTGTTGACGCTGTGGACCCGTCGCCCTTGGCTATTCCGCCGGAGGCCGATGCCTTGCCCCGACCATTTCATCTGATCCATCTTCACTCTTCCACCAAATCCTCTTCTTCATCCTCGTACGACAATTCGAGAATGGGGAGGATAATCTTCAAGCTGAATTGTAGAATGAGGTTAGTTTTTCCTTTAACCATGATCACCATTGACCTTTTTTTTAATAGATAAGGTAGCTCGTACGCCATGTTAATTGTGGGGACTGTTCTACAATTGGCGTAGTGACGTATGTGCTGTGTTGTGTATATGCCATTCGTTTGTATAGAGCTATATATTCTTGTGTATGGCGAGTTCTTTGATGAGGTACTTTTGACGTGAGGAGAATGAATTGCTTCGTCTTGGTATTTCTCTAAGTAACGCCTTTTTGATGCATCATTGATCAAAGCATTTCAGAAAAGTGACAATGTATCAATGGTATGGAATTACAAAGAAAAGGTTAGTAGTTATAAACAATGCCTTGGATCTACAACAAAAGAGGACTATCCTCGAAACAAACTAACAAATACATGATTACTCAACCAGCGCCAATTGGCACTGACATTTTGGACTGATTCCAGCAAGTTGTATTTCCCAAAGGAAGAAGACAAAAATCTGATGGTCAGGGATTATGGGAGATGATTACTCCGTACGGATGGTACGATACTGCGAACAAGGAGAGCTGACTTTTTCTTAAGTTAAAGATAGCTAGTTTAGTAAATGGTAAATGGTAAAAGTAAATCATACTTGAACACTGCATCGTAGGTTGCACTGCGGAAATAATGTTCCAGACATGCACAGTTCAGAAAATCGATGCAGTAGATCACTCTAATCGACGATCCGGAGACCTCCGACTGCGTCACACAGCGAATGAGCTTCCAGCCAGTGAACGCGGCGCCATATGGCCGCGCAAGGAGCTCACAGAGCTCTTCCGTAAGGATTTGGCGAGAGGTAAATCCCACCATACTGTGTCGCGCATTGTGGACGCAGCTCGTGCTCCCTGTAAAGAACATCGCAGTACAATTTCCTTCTTCTATCTCTGACCGTTCGAATTTCCCTCGCTTTAAAAATAGATGTGAGCTTACTTACCATCAGAGGTACTTGTTACGAGTTACCGTACGTCCAGTCTTGCGTCATGAGCAGCTATAGGGGACTTTAACTAATGGTCCCTTTGTACAGGGGTGGAACACGTTTAGGTCATGGTTATCCCTTCCTTCACAGTGATGGAGCTTGTGGACTCATGCATCGAAGACAAGAACGTCTACAGAGCAAGAAGCCAGTCGTGGTTATGATCATGGACTTATACCATTGGAAAGCTCAGTATTACACTGCGACAGAAATTGGCCATCATCAAGTTTGGCAAACGTAACCACCAGTCCAGCGAACAATGATGGTTGGAAATCTTACAAGTATGCATATGGCTTATCAGGGTCGTACCTTGATATTGCGATCAGAAAGCAGACAATGCATTATATAAAAAATGATTACATGCTCTACATTACATCGCATCATCCCGTCATCCGATGAATACATGAGATTCCATATTTTCCTAAATATGAAATCAGAATATAAGACAGGCTAAGAATAGGAATCTATTGGTTTATTCGAACTCGAACAGACTTATATTTGTCTGGAAATCTGGCTCTTCTCTTCAGTACTTTCGTCGATCACTAGAACTGGTTTTTGTCAAGTAAGATATTACAAATATGTTGGCCAAAATGGCTACATTCCAAAGATCACATAGGGATATATTACAAATATTGGATGGGTTTCGTCTCATCCATTAACCCAGCTTACCTTCTCGGGTGGCAAATTTGGTGCAAAGGAGGAGTTCAGTCGTCACTCCGGCTTCCAATTTCATAGACCTGTAGCTGATTGGCACGGTTCACATGCATGTAAATCTTAGAATTAGACCTCCTTTTCTTATCATATAATTACTTACTCAAGCCCGAAAGGCTTTACATTTACTCCCCGAAACATGAATTATGAATTACATGCTCCAACCTGATATGACAAAAGATGTCAGGGCCAAAAAAGGTAAGTGGAATTTGGTACAAAAGGTGCACAAGAACATCACATGGACACTGGAATTACTTGAACAATCCTCCTAGGATACGAGGAAATAGAATTCTGATAGGGAGGAAGACTTGAGACATAGGCTGCAAATTTTTGACGTGTCTCGATTCATGGTAATTGAAAATGTGAATCTAACTCTATAATGGATATGCACTTGATCCGCGATTGTAAGCTACAACAATATGAAATTGAAACTGGAACGAAGACTGAATTCCTCGTTTGCACCAATTTTGCCACCCGAGAAGATGTGCTGGTGTAGGGTCAATGGATGCAAGGAAAACCATCGATTATGTCCAATCTTTGATTATGTGATGTTTCTTGGGGTACAGCCAACTTGATCAACATGTTTGGTATTTCTTCATCGACGGAAGGCGTTTTAGTCCTTTGGTTTTATCTATGCGCGGATATTTGGTTTCATCCTTATTTGCTGTATATTTATTCTTCTCTTTGGATTGGAGGATACCGAGCCGATGAAAGAATTAAAAAGATTGATGTTTTCAAACTGGTACTTTGGTGAGACGTGAACTTTGATGCGAGTGAAATGGAAGCCTGTAGTAATGGAAGATCAGGGCGTGAGCTTCAATTGCTACTGGTTTATGAAGTTCGGTGACGGTAGTCCAGGATTCAAGAATGGGATGATAGATGCGTACCTGCATTTGTGAACAAAACCTCATTCAAAGTTAATTCCGGATGTTCGGGATAAAAATTTCTACATACAACATACTTGGGGTCATTCATTTCCAGTCTCGGTAACATGAAAAATGTTCAAGCTTGCCCTCTCCCTCTCTCTCTCTCTCATTTGATCCACTATAAAGTCCAATATAACTTCCAAGAAGCGAAAAGGTATTTATACACATCATATATATCGTATTTAAGTTAATGTGCCTAGATGTGACTGTGACAATAAGTTTTTCTAAATAGACATATTTAGAGATTCGGGAATTCTTTGGTATATTTGAAGATGGCTTTTACAGGTCATATCGGGAATGTTTTTTATTGAAAGCTCTGTACCTCAAAATAACTTTTGGTGCTCTTTGGTTCCATTCTGGTGAGAAAGCTTGTCACGATCTGGCCTCAAGATATTAGCTTCTTACAGGACGCTACATACACTTGGCGCTAGTTCTATCTTAAGGAACTTTCTCTGAAATATTTAGGAATAGAGTTTTATCAGGGTAACGTTGTCTTATCCAGATGGAAGGAAAGAGCTCGTTATTATAGTTTTATATTTTATTTTAAGAATCTATAGTTTAAGATCCTATGAATGTCTCTGAATCAGATATGATATTTGATAGGTTTGAAAATAATCTAAATTACATATTTATTGTATACATCAAAACATGACATAGTTTTGTTCTATTTTTTAAATTCTGTCGCTTTTACAAGGAGCGTTGACAAGTCACGAAATTAAACCTCGGCGGCCGGTATGTGAACAAGAAGGTTTGAAAGTATGAATTTTAGGCAGCAGCGGGGATAGTCTCAAGTGCAAAATCGTTGGAATTCAGATAAAACCAAAACCCTAAAACCTCACTTTATCATAACATCCTCTTTGAGAACATGGATCTACAAATTTACTCTTAATTTTGGCCTCAATGCCGTAATCATTTTGGAAGTCAAAATTATCTTCCATATTACAGACATCTCCCCTTACGTTTCCCTACCGAGTCTTCATTAAAGACCTCCCCGTCATCTTTAGTTTCCTTAAATCGAGGGAAGATATTTTCTCGATGACCTGCGTGGATAAGTTTGGCCGATTAAATCATCTTCAATTTTACGAAATAAGTCGTTTATTCACATTTATAGAAATAAACCTTGTTGTAGGTCGCATTAAGTCTGCTTAACTAACACACATGCGTTATGAAGTACGTGTATGAATTTCTTATGGATGAGTACTCAGTTGGATTCGGAAAAATCCAGCCCTGAAATCAGTATAAGTGGAACGATTACGGAGTGTTTGGAGGACTTTTTATTGAATCAAATGAATTATTCTATGATTCAATTTTAACTCTATATTTCAATCAAGTTGATCCTTGCTGCATTTCAATTCTTCTTCCTCTGAAACTTATCTCACAGTTAGAATTCTTTGAATTCAAATGAGTATTCATTGTTTATAAAATCTGCACCTTGACGAAGAATCAAGAAAAAAATCGTCCTGTCTTAGATCTGATCCTACCTGCTTATAGCGTAATGCATGTCATGATTATATGAAATTTTTTCAAGAGCAGGTGGCCGCCGGTGGCGACTATTTTTTTTAGATCGTCAGTCGGTTCAAAATAATAGTACACAAGTTTGCTTATACAGTTTGCGGGATTTTTTCACATTTTCTAATTCTGCAAATATTCTCTTTCTCACTAGTCTCAGATTAATCTATGCAAGCAGATTTTTATCGAGTACATCGTAAGAAAAAAGAATCTTCTTGCCGGACCTACATTTATGGAAGCTGAGATATATATGAGATCTAAGGACAACCAGAAATCATAACGATGCTCCTTGAAGTTAATTCTTGGCGACAAATCTCAACCTTGTTATATTTTTCTATCAAGTGTGAAGGATCGTGCATGGAAAGCACAATTGTTTCGAGGATTCAACGCGCACTAGAGCTTCCACTTCCTACAACGATGGGACTTCTAGGAGTTTCTATGACCGTTTGTGAGTGATAAAAAACTCATTTTGAACTAAATCGAGCCTCGTCAAACAAATGCAGCCAGTGTATCTGAAATCTCCGTCCCGCTCAGTGGTTCACTTACTGGGATTCCAATATGATTGTATAAGCAATCCCAGTGTGCCTGTTATGTTCTAGTGACGAATCTTGTACCAAATTCCGCTTCCCTTTTTGAGCGAAGATCCGATTGGAGGATGTAATTCTTACGGTTTCAGGGAGTAACTTTATAGCTTTACATTTTTGGGGCATGAGGAAGTAAGATTCTGATTATAATAAGAAGACGAATTCTAAGAGTGAAGATGTATGTGAACCGTATCTACAAGCTACAGGGATATGATCTCAAAGCCGGAACAACGACTTAATTTTTCATTTGCTTTAAATCTTCCAGCCGAGAAGGTGTGTATTTCTTTCTTCGCCTCGGATGGGAAGAATCTCTCCGATGGAACAAAGCTTGCTTGAAGTTTCAGATTGCTACTTCCGTGAGAAATGAGCTTTGTGAGAGAGAAATTCTCAGTGCCTGAGTTACAGTGCTTCTAGTTGAGTTTCTTCACTTTCGTCAGAAACGAGATTCATTCCAAAATTTTGGAAACTTTTCCAAGACTTGGAAACTTTTCAGAATGACTGGATGATTATGATCATGAGATGTAGACAGGTACACAGGAATTTGTGGTTCGAGAGGACTTCTGCGATGTACTGTGCATAGGAATGTGCGTTTAATTTAACACAACAATGTCCGACAAATACTTCCAGAATGATAGTTGTGTTGTGGTTTGTGTCTCTTGCAGTAGCCAAATACCCTTAATCAACACGAGGCCGTGGCCAAATTTTGCTTTCTACTACGCGCCAAGATTTGGCCATTTTTCCTTCTTTTGTCTCCCGGTTAAGCATCGTGTGGTTTTTGGTCAGTTTGAGCCCAATTTTAAACTCAAATTCTCTAATTTAAATAGGAGTGAAGAGCGTAGAACTCTCCAGATCATGATTTTCTGTCTTCTATTGATACTCTGCATAAAGCTCCACGGAATCATTTGTGAGTTCTTTGGACCACCATCGTTTTATAAAAGCCAAATTTTGTGATCATGAGTCTAATACTTGATTTTGAAGAATGAATTTTCTTCAAAAGAGGGATGATAGATGCGTTACTGCATTTTCAACTGGAACCCTCTTTAACATTTGATTCCGGATAGTCTGAACAAACATTGATCCATACAACTACAAGCTTCTTCAAGATATTTCTTTATTCCGGTTATTCATTTCTAGTCTCGAAATATTCTCTAAAGTATTATATCCACTGAAACCACTATAAATCCCAAGTAGCGATTAGAAATTTATACACATACTACATATCACATTTATGTAAAGGTACCTTATTGTGACAATAAGGTTCTCTAGAATTTTTTACTCAAACTTTCTTCAATATTGTTGAAGATGGCTGATTCGGCGGCTGAGACATTTTCCCGCAGGTCATCCTGTAATATATTTCTATCGAAATTTCTGTAGCTACAACAACTTCGATTCTCTTTACTTCCCTTTGGCTGAGAAAGCTCACAGGACGCTACATACAGTTGGCGCTAGTTCTATCTTAGCAACCTCTTCTGCACTTTTTGATCTAAGTAGAGTTCTAGCAGGGTGACCGTTGTATTATCCAGATGGGAGATAACAACTCAATTTCATAGGTTTGAATCATAGTTAAAGAAGCTACCGTTTAAGATCCTTTGCATTTCTCTGAATGAGGTAAGATTCTTATTAAACTTGACCCCCAAAAAAACCTAAAGTACATATTGATTTTTAACATCAAACCATGATATGTTTTTATTCTATTCTCTTAAACCAGTTTCTTCTGCAATTTACAATCAAAGTAAGTGAAATTAAAGTCTAGATTCGCAAACTGACCACATGAATATCTAGAGTTTTAAAATGTTTTTGATATGTTGAAAAGCAGCTGCTCATATGGACCGCAAAAATACAGACCTATGCACTTTTATTTTCCTTGTTTGGAGTCAATATGGACAATGCTGTACATCACGAAGACATTCTTCACCTTCCTTGATCTTTGTTTTGAGCACGGGGTTTCAGTCTATGAGTGTATATTTATATATATCTTATCTGGCACATGGATATTATTCTTTTAGACAAAGAGGCATGTGATATGCTATTTTTCATTTGTCGTAAACGGAACGCGGTTACATGGAGCACAGGCACAACTCAATTAATTCAGGGCCTGACCGTTCTGACGATTATGTAATTGATAACCACGCCGACACTTCTCAAATGTTTTGCGCAGTGCGTACACAATCTCAATCAGGTACGGGAACTCTACTGGAGATTCAGCTCCTTGAGAGCTTTTAAATCAAAATAGACCAAAATTGAAGAGTGGAGAGCAATCGAGATATTCATGAATATAGTGTGTCAAGCTACAAGATAGTCTGTAGATCAAATAGATTACTTAGCTCTGAAGTGATCATGGAGTAGATCTAGCTTGTCAGACCATTCAGATTTGAGGCGAAAAGGCCTCAACATTTGGACTTCGGGTGCTTAGCAGTAGCTCTTGAGCCTTCAAAAACTAAGACAGCTTTGTGAAGACTAGAGGAAGAAAAAAGAACCAAGGAAATCATAATAATCACAGAAAGCTGAGATTCTCAACCTTGGACGTCAGGTGCCAGGTGCTTAGTAGGAGCTTTGAAGCCTTAAAAAACTATATTAGCTTTGTGAAGCAAGTCCAGCGCCTACGCAAAGCAGAACCCCTAAGTCTTCAACAACCTGCAATAGAGGAAGACAAAAATCCGGAATTTCTACATATATGTAAGTAATAAGTAGTTGTCTGAAACATCAACCTTTGGAAGCGAGTTTCTTCGATGCGCAGGAGCTGTGAAACCCTCAAAAAACAATGAACGCCATTGCGAGGACTGGAGGAAGAAAAAAAAAACAAAGATAATTAAATGGAAAATCTAGTGTGAAAGAAAGAAAGTAGAGAGAGTGTGCGTGAGTGGTGTTGCGGATCGAATTGCACCTCTCCTACGAAATGGCGGCACCTTGTTATCTAGATAACCATACCATCCTTGATGAGGGCATTTTCCGAGACAATAATAATACCAGATCGGATATAGATGCCATCAGAAGGCTTTTCCGCCTCACGAACGCCGTCTGTGTTAGTGAGAATGACATTCTTGCCAATCCTGGCATTTTTATCAATGATACACCTCTTGATCTTGGAGTATTCTCCAACACCCATGGGTACTTTTCCAATAGCAAGCAGGCGACTCCTCTCTTCTTCTGTCTCGTAGTCATCAGCCCCTATCATCACCACGTCTTTCAGCTCCACTCCAGTCTCGATCCGGGAACGAATTCCAATGATGGAATGCTGCACACTGCAGCTACGAAGAAAGCATCCATGAGACACAATGGAATCTACGATTCTGCAATGATCCACCGTAGTCGGAGGCAAATAACGAGGAGACGTGTAAATTGGATTCGACACGTCATAAAATTCAAACTTTGGCGACTCTTCGGTGAGCGCAAGATTCGCCTCGAAGTAGGATTCAATGCTTCCCACATCTTGCCAGTAATTCCTAAACAGATAGGCTTGAACGTAGAAATCCTTGGCAGCAGCGGGAATAATCTCGGATGCGAAGTCGTTAGAATTAGGATAGATCCACTTCAAAAGCTTGATCAGAACATCCTTTTTGAAAACATAGAGCCCCATGGATGCCACAAACGGACTGTTCTTCGCAGCCCCTTCTGGTAAACCAGAACCCGCTGCTGCTGCAGATTCCAAAAGCATACTGAGCCCATAACCATTGTCAGCCATAGCTTTGTCATGGATGGACAAGACCCGGCCTTTATGGTCGAGTCTCAGCAAGCCACCGGCAGAAACTTGGCAGCTACTGTCATCCATGGACAGAGGCACGCAAGACACTGTAATATCAGCACCACTATTATGGTGACTTTGCACCAAGTCCATGTAATTCATGCGGTACAAATGATCACCAGAGAGAACGAGGACGTGTTCTACGGCCTCGCTTCTGACATTATCAAAAATCCACGAGAATCGACGAACAGCATCAGCCGTCCCCATAAACCAACGCTTGTCTCCGAGCGTCTGAGTGGCTGCCAAAACTTCCACGAATCCATCTCGGCACGTGACGCTGTTGTATGTACGAGATATATGCCGATTCAGAGAGGCAGAATTGAACTGCGTCAGAACGTACACTTTGTTAATGCCACTATTGATACAATTGCTCATCTGAATGTCGATTAGCCTGTAGGCTCCCCCCATGGGTACAGCAGACTTCGCCCTTCTTTTTGTGAGAGGGAATAGCCTAGATCCTGCTTCGCCTCCCAGTATCATGCATGCAACAGACTTGGGGTCCACTTTGGATCTGACTTCTGAATCCGTCGACAGAGATGCCTGTGCAGCTATCTCCTTTGCAATGTCATACAGCAGGGACGTTGTCGCTGCTTTGTTCACCCTCCTGTTGTGCTTTCCAGCCACGGCCACAACTGGACTTCCATTCGAGCTCTTGCTCGTCGTCCATCTGCAATTGCAAGACTTGGAGGTCGAGCTGACATACGCAGTCGCACTGCAAGTCTTGATCAGTTTCCATATTTGGTCCGTGCGACCGAAAAATCGGTCGCTACTGCTGCTGAAAAGATTTCTCAAGGAATTGGAGCTGCTTCTGAAAGGTCCAGTGCCATTGAGCTGAGCAGAATGCAACTTAAGGTTGAATGGCACGATCGTTGCTACAGCCATCGCAACTTTCTTGCAGTGCAGAGTCTTAATATGCCCAAAGTTTACTGATTTAGCAGAAGCTAGCACTCATATCACAAAGCCACTCATCAGTCTGCCGTCCTCACGAAGGCTGCGATGGGCTTCATACAGCCTTCTCTCAGATCGATGCTCTCCTGAAGTCGGGGAGGAGACTCCACTCTGTGCACGGGTACTTCCACCACAATCTTCCTCTTCTAGGAGAATGTCCTCCAGCCAGCCAGCCTACCAGTCAAGCAGCTCCTGCACTCGTCCCGTGCTCTGGCTGAAATGCAAAGACACTACATTTTTGTACAACCGCTCACCTCCCGCACTTGCACAATCAAACGTAGTTGAAGCAGTGAGGCATTAACGCATCACCAACATTTCGCAGGCTGTCAAGCAGGTTGAAGAGCGTTCGGTGCTTCTGAACTGGTAGGGGGGACACCAGGCCTAACCTTTATTAGCCCACCGCACCGTACATTGCATTCGAGGATTTCCACTGTCCGTCTTAAATAATGCAGCGTTCGTTTCTTGTGACAGTCTTTCTGTGGGCAATCGAAACTTGGGAATCATCGACACCAGGGCACGCGCATGGTCAAGCATCTGGCTTCACTTCACTTGTCGTCCGAACTATAGTTGCAAATGAGGGACATGTAGCATTATAAAGAGTTTCTCAACCTCGGTCAAGTGAACTCGACCCGGTGGTCCGGTCCGAATGGAGCCGTGCAGCATAATCATATCTGATCAGTCTCGCTCTCCTGCTCGAGACCTCCATTTGCAATGTCGATACCAATTCCGCTCTATTATAAGCAACTGCGGCTGGCTGGTGGATTGATTGCGAGAGAATTGGAGAACTTTATCTGAGATTACGACGCAATATTGACTTCAGCGAGGTGAAGGTTTTCTTTCCTTTCTCACAATATTATTTCGCGCTTCACCGGGGTCCCCATATTTCTGATTCGAATTCCACCATACGTCGAAGCCCACTTCCCTCCTTGAGAGGAAAACAAGTGCATTGTCGGATCTGTGTTTGGATTCGATTAGAATTGGTTGCTCCTTCCAAGCACACCTTGACCCAGTCATTCATCCTGTTAATCTTGGAGGGATTGCGAAGGTTTTGGCCGACAGACCCCAAAGACAGACGCATGTGCCCACGTCCACCATCTGGACGACACCAGGCATCCTTCCAGAAAAAAGAGTCCAGATGCGGAAGCCTCCAGCCGGAGACATGATGAACTAATTAGGGCTAAGAGGGAAGAAGCGGGCTCCGAGAACCAGAGTTCCGAAAGTCCTCGAGGCGAATACCTCAGAGCACTTCAGTCGGCCATTTGCTTGAGATTCGACCATCGGCCTTGTCAGGCTCGATCGATCGATCGAAGATTGATAGCAGGCACCGCCTGCCGGACCTGGCTGCCAAGTATGCACATCACTATGATCGAAACGACACAATTATTAGCTTATTGACGTGCAGCCTTCGCATTATGTGCCGCTGCTGTTGGCGCTGTGGTTGACGACGATGCATCCGGCGAGAACAGACTGTCGGGTCGTCGTACAGTTGTGAACCGATGTTTCGCAACACAACCTTTAGGCCACGTCGCCCAGATCGCCTGCCCGCAACGTGCAGTTCAGCAGGAGCAGCAGCGACCTGAACAGGCTGAAACTCGAAAGGCTCTGTTCCAGATTCTCTCGCCAACGCTTGCTCTTCCCGTGCTCTAACCCTCCTCAAGGGTCCGGTCCGTTCACCCGATGGGTCAAGATTCAAGATTCCAGTCACTCAGTCAGCCCGCTTCCTTTGGTTACAAGAACCACACCCGCTGCCCTCGTTAGGCTCCATCCACAACGTTCTGCACACGCTTCCAAGTTTGCAATTGGAAATTTGAATCTCGCCCGATTTCGAATGCGGGGAAGCTGCAGGAACCTCGTGCCGTTTGAGGAGGTGCTGACGCCGTTGCCGTTCGGGAACTGGCTGGCGGTAGAGCCTTCCATCTTGACTTCGAGCCCGGAGTGAGGATCGAGCGTTCGACGGTGGTTGCCGATAAGAGCGAAGAATCTCTGCTTCGGTTTGAGTATTGTTCATCACTCGGGGAGCTCCTTTTCTGCGATTGACCGCTCGATGTGTCGGGGGCAGGCTTCTAGAAAGTGATGTCACATGTCGCTGTGTCGATGCCGACCATAGTGAAAGTTTTGTACGGGTGGGATTTCTGAGCCTCCCTTTAATGCGACTCATGTCGAATGTCTTGCGACACAGGCATTGATGTTGCAGGTTTTCTCGGCATGATTGCGTTTGTTTTGCAGTAGGACCTACCGAGTGACGGAGATCGACAAAATATCTGTATTTTGTAGCAGCAGACATTTTGCCAGCGATCGGATATGCTTTTCTTATGAGCGCAGTAACCCCAACAACCCCTTGATTGGAAAACCTTCCGCAGTCACACCTCCCATGAACTGGACGCAACCCAGTCAAAGCATAGCAAACTGTGCACTTGTGCCATGTTTCCCATTACCAGTGTCCATACCACATGAGTGCTAACCATCAGTCCCAACTGTCATTCATTCTACGTAGGTTCATCCCTGAAGCACTTCTCTTCTTGTTTATTCTCGGACGATTGTGATCTACACGTGACATATTGCCGTTCAACGATATCTTGACAGGAAACCACGCATCTACCACGAAAGACAACGCAACAAAAAACTTTCGAGATATCACGCCTTTTGTTAGGTCTAGAACGTATATTGATCCATAAGAAGAAAATCAATAGGATTCGTAAGTCCTGGATGAGAAGGCACAGAGGGTTGAAAGGTGTTTAGAAGGGCCTACTATTAAGCATTAAACCGTGTTCAATGAGAATCACAAGTCTGCACACGACAAAACAATTTCTGCTCAGTCACTCGTTGACGTGTAACTTTTCGTTTTGACACCTCAAGTAGTTGTTGACGACCTTTTAAGCTTTCCGACTTCCAATAAATGCGACACTTTCATCAACACCGTAATGATCATCACGAAGATATGAATTCCGGTACCTAATGTACATCAGACAAGTTCCCTCTCGCCGACAGATCTGAAATAACACACTCTGCATGAAAGACATGCCACTCTGTATTTGGACTCTGCATTTGGGCCTCATGGCGTGAGCTCACGGTTACCCTGAGACTCTTTCCATTAACATGCTCTTCATCTTCATCAGTCAAAAAATAGAAAATATCATGAACGACCTAGTAGGAATAGAAGCCTGATTGATAGACGTCTCTCAAAATCAGCTTCTCGCAAAAGAAAATGTTCTAATGACTCACACGCCTACACAATACTGAGAGGACAATTCTTCGAGACATCACATGCTCAGATCCACCTTCACAGAATCATATATAAATTTCATGAATGAACAGATAGATCATCCAAAGCAGATATTCCGCAAAAAAACAAGATCTGCTTCTTGTTCGGAACCAAAACTTTCTGCTTCAGACTACATTAAGGGATATTCAGCTCCAGCCTGAAATGACAAGCTTGATATACATGTCATATAAGTATAAAGATATCATCGCTTGCAGAAAAACGACAACTCAGATCCCGGTCAGCCACCCGTTTGGAATATAACCTTTATAACAGAGCCTGTTGAACTTTTAAGTATACAGTAACTTGCCCGTATATGTACAAGGATTTGCCCCTACCTTGCAATTGCCTTTCTAAAAACTAGAGAACAACGTCTTGCCACTATAATGTTGATCTATCTGGAAAAAAGAGAAAATAAAAATGAAAAGGGGAAGAGAGGGACAGTCCTGAAATATAGACAACTTTGTTTATGCTGTACGCAATGCGTGCCAAAGCTCATTCAGAGGGGTTGAGATCAGTACATCCGACGAATTTTCGTCGACTATCCACCATCCTCGTCTAATCTCACTGCCGAGCTGCCCTACAACCCACTTAGCATGCCCGTGCAAAACGTGATGGTCAAAGCCCAGATAAAGTTCCTTTGAGGCTGCTTCTTCGGCTGCAGATAAGTCAGATACACCAATCCCGTTTTCGTTCTTGCTCCCACCTTTCTCTACATCTTGTGCGCAGTCACGGACAGATACAGAGTTCTCAGACAAGTTACAAGCATCTAGTATGCGTAACAATGGCGAGATTTCTCTACCGAGATACAGTCCAGGGACGAGTTCGTGCCCCAATTCTCGGGAAAGTACCAACTTTTCTTCACTCCCTGATCTACCTGCCCACTTCGCGCACTCTTGGCACCTATGTAGGACAGTCCACTGATCTTGAGCATGAGGACCACCAATTCCATGTTCTACTTGCTTCATAGCTGGTCTGTTCTGTCCCAAAAGCGCATTTTTCTCCCACTCACGAACGACATCTTCCTGTACAATGACATATATAATTCACATAAGGTGTATCCTACAACCGTTACCAACGTAGCAATGTGCGAGATTCAACGTTTCAGCGAAATTCATGGAATCAACAAGCATCTCAGACTGACTTCTTAGCTAGCTCGTTAGACTGCTGCTGTACGTAAGTGCACAAAGACAAGCCAACGATACTGGACAGCTTTACACGATGTAGGAAGATCATACACACCCCTGCTTCTTTATTGAGAACAAGACCACGAGACCCACTGCATCTTTGATGTTCATAAAGAAGTACCTTGTCACATAGAAATACCCCAACAACATCAGAATTCATTGTCCAGATGGATCGTCCACGAAGAATGCTACCTACTTGCGGTTCAGCTGGGAAGTGGCGACTGCTTTGTGCAATTCAGAGTACAGACACCAGTTCCAAGCACCTTGTAATTACTCGCCAACTAACCATCGCTGAAAACTCAAAGTTACATCAAGATCATGAAGAGAGATCTTACCACAGATCCAAAAAAGTATGGAGATGGCATTGACGACGTGGCAATCAAAAGAGTGACAGGGTGGAGGCGATTAGAATTGCTGGAGGATGCCCATCCCTTGCTTCCCAAAAGTGAGCTGCTGCAGACCCCGCATGGCACTCCATGAGGGTTAGTTTCTGATCATGCTTGCAACAAGCCCTGCATTCTCATCCCTCCATCAATCTTCCCTGCATATGTGCATGAGCAGACTCTGCACCTATACCTTGTTGTCCTACACTGCCAGCACAAAGGGTGTAAAGAAAATTTTAAAGACCATTTTGTAAATTCCAGGTTTCTCCCCCGAGACTAACACTACGCACTGTAGAAATCGAGAATATCATACCCTACGCATCGACAGGCTCAAGAATCCATATTTTTGCTTCAAACCCGGTTCACTATACCCACCTAGGGCTCCTGAAGAAATGGGATTGCTGTACGCAGAACAAGAAAACTATGGAAGAATCACTGTCCCAACCTACATGATTGCCCAGGATTCATACGAATCAAGACATCAGTCTCTAACGCACTCGTAGATCTTTTGCAAACGGACTCTGAGACACAGACTTAATTACCTTTAAAGAGACGCAGGTGCTGTGCAATCCATAATGCAGGTAAACTGCTCGCTCTGTTCTACAGTTCAGTTTACTAAACCGTAGACCTAGAATTATTATTGATCATAACCTAACAAGGGACGAACAAACATAGAGACCAAGTCCCAGGGCGTCACAAGTTGAAATGGAATAATTACTTGCAGTTTCCAGCCGCGCAATCGTCTTCCATGGAATTGAGGCGAAAGCTGCAGGGTAGAACCTCGCGAGCCAGAGCAAGACCTCCTTCGAGTTCGTCCAACAAAGACTGGAGACTGTGACCGGCAAGTGCAACATAAAAAGCACACTGCATTTTTAGCAAGAACAATTAACTGGGTCAGAGTAGTAAACGAGAAAACCTGCGTATCAAAACAAGTATAATAGAAGATTATCTCACGAGAATTCTTCACCATGTCTGCTTTGTGGGTTAATGCATAATATGCATAATTTTTTCTATAATTCACAAGCTACCATCGAGACAAAGCAGCCAGCTTCTTGACCACCTTCTTGAACACTTTCTCCCCCGGCACATCCTAGCTGATGCCAGCTTCGCTATGGTCAAGTGTTGGTCATGTGAACTATCATAATAGTTCACATGACCAACACTTGACAGAGAGCAAACACTTCACTGGCTAGAACTTGGGGACGGAAGAAAGATGGATCAAGTTATCAACTTGTTCTATGCCGAAACCAGAAATAACAAATAGCCATATGGTACACTGACAAGCCAAAAAGACCTCTGAACTCAGTCCCAGATACATAGTAATGTCGGACGGCTTCCATTGGAGATAGGATACGTTAACCTGCGATACCAGGCAATGCTGGTATCGCAGGTTGAAGTTCCTGCGAATAATCCGACAAATACTCTAAACACCATCGTGTCTTCGAATTCAACTAATGCCTGGATAAAAAGGGAAGGTGAATGCTTCAGTAACCATCCAAGGGGCATTCTTTTCTTTTCTCTACGGAGACCGACACTCTTGCACCGAAGAGTCTTTTACAGAACTTCAGTTCGACTGCTAGTTTCTAGATTGCAACCAAGAAATTGGAAAAATCGTGTATATTGCTTTTACCGAAAAACTCTTGCAATGTACCCTTAAATATACAAGGAAGACCAAAGTGAAAAAACACTAAGAAAGTGTGCTCCATTTAACTCATTCGACTAAATGGAAAGAACCGGAAGCAAGAGAACCCTGCTCCTGTCGCATTTGCTACCTGGAAACCATAACTGATTGGAAGGCTCCTACTTAGCAAGTCTTGATTTGCAGTACTCTTTCAAGTGAGTTTCAACCAGAAAGAAAAACGCGCTAGGGTTTGGCAGCTCTTACATCGTCTCCAGTCCTTCCAAAAAGACAATACTATCTCGTTATAACCCATGATCCAAGATATGAAAGGATTCAACTTATCTCCAAAGCTGTGATGTCTTTGGAACTTCGATTTTGCTATTAAACGACCTACATAGGTTCAAAAACCTGGTAACCTTACATCCTCACAGCCACAAATTTCTCCCTTCTCACCACAGAAGATCTGGAATATTGTTGAAGATTCCACCACTCTCAGGTTGTAATACTGGAATACGAAAAAACCTTCGCTTGACATAGCATGCAGCAAACCCGAAAACTCAGAATGCCAATTCCCGTTTATCACAATTCAAAACACAGGCTGAGGTGGCAGAGAACATTCGTACCAGTATGATAAGAAGACCTGTAACTTCACACGAGTAGCCTGCAAATGCCTTCCAAAGTTGACAACCTAGGGGCGGCCTTGGGGGTGCCACAGAAAACTTTTGTGTGCACACTGAGCATCTGCTTCCACCGCAAAACAAAAAACTCGTCATAACGTAATCAGACACGGGTGGTAGAAAACTTGAGCTAAACCGGACTCGATTGGAGTTGATTTCATAGAGAGAACCACATCAGACGAAACATCCATATGAGTGCGAGTGAAAAGTGAGAAGCCGCAATTCAATATACAGTTTCTTGAAATCATCGTACTCTCTAGGAAGAACATCAGTAGAACTCACACAAGTGCTGGACCATGGCCTGCGCCAGGTCTTCTCGTAGCCATAACCGAACGCTGCCATCGACGTAAACACTTGAAATGTACGAAGGCTTGGGTACCTGTGACAATTTGTACGCCCCCGTAAGCCAGTATTTCTCATCATGCCATGACTTACCACCTTATGGAAACTCTATATTCCTCACTAACATTCTATGTCTAACCACCAGCAGCTTCGGAAAATTACATCTCCTATCAGAAAGTCATTAACCCCTCTTCCGCCTGATCTAACATCCTAAAATTTATAGGAACAGGCGGAATTACAAGAGAGAAAGGGATGCACCACTGCAGGCGCATGGAGAGATGAGCCGATCGTCTTCCAAGAAGAAGGAATCGGAAAGTTTTGAATAACTTGTAGCAAATATAGGCGACGATTCAAGACATATCCGACATGTCTCCTCAACCTGCCCGCCTTGAGACATTTCCTTCTCAATTATGCTACGCCTCTTCTGAGCTTTTGAGAAGGATTCTCAAAAATAGCGTCCCAACTAGTGAACCAGATTCAAACCCAGTGACTTTCCCAACTCGTGCGAGTCTAAGGAATATTCAGTCAAAAACAGGACAGCCAATTCATCCACTGACAGACAGACCTCCAATGATAAAGAGTTGAGAGTCAAGCGTCACATAAAAGTGTCCCATCCTCTGTTTGCGCCCGTCCAAGCTTCAATTGTGCTGTGAGTGCATAACAGTAACAATCGTCACCACATATCAACCCACTCTCAGCTCAAAAGCAACAGAAGTCCTGGAATCTATGCTGGAAACGAACGAGTCCAATTGTCACAGATCAGGGAGCATGATTCACGCGAAAAAAACATGAATTTCTCCTTAAACTTTTCCACTCGATAAAATCCACCGTCCCGATCCACTGCTCCTTCCCTTTCTCGTCTACCGTAAAGAAGCACACCAATCACGTTCAATTCACCACCACCCTCCGCGGACTTCCATCATCAAAGCAGATCTGCCGGTCTGTATCTCCAAAACTCCCTTCCTTTCTTTGCTGCACCTTTCCCACTCATGTCGCAACCTCCCGGCCGAAACAGAACGCAGTGGCCCGCAATTCCTGCTCTGCTATGACGTAGTCCGATCGCCTTCGTTCTCCATCCCACTCCACCGCCACCGCTCTTTCCTTTCCTTTCCTTTCCTCGTCTCTCGTCTCCTTCTTTCCCAACGAAAGCGCAATCGTCAGCCCGTCTCCCGCGGCCCGCTCTCCTGCCTCCCGCTCCCGCTCCCGCGTCCTCTTCAACGTTTCCTTCGTCTGTTTCTCTCGCTCGAGCGTCAGCCCGGTAGTCTGCGAATCGTCCCTCGCCTTCCTCCCCCGCGCCACTCTCCCTCGTCTGCTCAGCTTGGGCTCCCCTTTTTCTTTTGCGCTCCCCTTTCAGTCTTTCTTTTTTTCTTCTATCTGACGGGATAAGTAAGGCAAATGTGACCGTCCGATGGTCTGGGTACGGATATCTGTCGGCACTCAGAATTCCACTTGGGCCCTCATCTTTTACCTCGTAACAAGTTTCAGTATGGTTCTTTGTCTCCGCCTCTCTTTGCATGTCAGCATCATCAGCAACCAGACTCCAGAGGATCGGTCACTCAGTACGATGACGGAAGACATGACACGTACCTTCTTTGCATGAAATATACTCAGGGTCCAAGAAAGTTCTGAGCTTCGTTGAAATGATTGACTCCTTTGAATGTGCTATGGAAATCCCATATCTAAAAGAAGAAGAAACTAAAAGTAAAGAGCTGCAACGAGACATAAGTAGATGACATACGGTCAAACTCTTGAAAACTTTCGTCTATTTATTTGTTATCATGAGCCCAAGATACCGGGAACATTAAAAAAGAAAAGTATACCTCAATGCTTTCACATAATCCTTTTATGCATCTTTCTTAAGACAAATCGTGTACGTTTGCTCTTTTCATCCGGTGTCACTTGAACGGGGCATGTTTCTTTCCTTAGCCTGAGTACTATGTAATGGTGTAGCCGCATTGTACCAAGGGTACCTTTTTCTATCACATGAACTTAGTCAATTTAGTATGAGAAATTATGTCTTGCATCAGTTGGTAAACACTATTACTGTGATCTATCATTATATTCAACCGTATTTATGCTATTATGACAATATGATGGTAGAGTATTAACCCTAGTCAAGGATCATCATTGATGTTCAACTCAAATGCTAACTTGATGAATTGGAACCTAACATAGTAAGTCATGTTATGTTTCAATGAAGATCAGATGCTAAAGCTCATAACAGTACTTTCTTTGATGTAGATATTGTATACTTCATACATGCATTGACACAAGCATGTGTAATTGTGGTTAAAAATATTGTAACACAAACTAGAGGAATGTCAATGAAGTTTGATATGGAAACAACTGAGACATATAGATGCGCTTATTACCTTGATAGTTCATACTTCCACAAACAATTGACATCTCATACATCACTTTAAAATATTTTACTAATGAGATTATTTTGGAAGTGAATATTGATAAAATTGTAGTTGAAGCATGTAATATATGATGAACATCTCTGCACATGTAATAAATTTCAACGCAAATCTTGGATGAAAAATAATCTTCATTATTTGTAAATTCTTTTGATTAGATATTGATATTTTGTTGAACTTTCATCTTCATTTTATGTATTTTAAATGAAATCCTTAATTTGCTAACTAGAATTTCTTGAAACACAATCAGAATATTTTTCTATTTAAAATGATGCATCCATGATTTCAAAAATTCATGAAACATGTTGCACATTCTTTAAATACTTTGCATGATATAGTATCACTGTATTGGTTGTTAGTGAGAATGAAACCACAAGCTGTGTTGATTTGATGCATATTCTTTTTTCATCTTTATATATTTAGTACAAAAATGTAAGATTAAAAATAGAATAGCCTGAATAATTATTATCGTATATTGATTGTGTATAAACGTCAATTGAAATCATCTAGATTATCATGTCATGCTATGCTAGTGATGTTTATTTCATGCTAGCAAAGAGATACATCACTCAAATTATTGAGTTGTTTAGTTATTTTTTGTTGGATGTTAACTCAAACTTCATTAAATGGGCTAATTTGTTCGTAATCAATTAGTCCAATGAACTTTATAATAGAGCTCATTGTACTTCTAAGTGATACAATACGTACTTTCAGCAAAAAAAAATATTCATTTGTATTCCACGGTAAATCAAGTAGTTTCTACGTATATCACATCAATATTTACATTAATTGATACTTTATAATTTTAATGATTCAACAATTCTACAAAATGATGAAGAAGAAAAATTATAAAAATTATATGAATTTTTCATTATGTACAATATGAATATTTTCAATTTTTAATTCTTCTTATCACAATTTAATTATCTCATATATATTAAAATTGAGTAAAATTGATATTCTATTTCCTTTATATGTGTTAAGATCTCAATTGGTACAATTAAAATACAAATTAGAAAATATAGCAAACATATTTTTATATTAAATATACTATTTTAAAGATTTTGAAAACTTTTTTTTCATATTTATTTAAATTATAAGCTATAAAAGCTAAAAATATAAATATATAAAGAATTAAAAACTAGATGATATGATATAAATTTTTAACTCATATTTATTATTTTTATATTTATTTTATATTTTAATTAATATATATTAATTTAATTATTTTAAATGCTAAGATACTTTACTCATTTGCAATTATTTTATTTTTTTATACATATCATCACATAGTTACAAAATATCATTATGTATTGTAATCATAATTATATTCATCAATCAGCCTAATGTCATCTAATAAAATTGGTTGTAACACTTAATGATACGCATCATTATTATTATTTGACTAAAAAATTCATTTTGTTAAGTGAATGTTGTTATGCTTCACACATCTTTCTTATGTTTTTAATTTTTTTTCATTGTAAAACAATCATAAGTACATCAAAACCTTCTTGTATAGATTTAAAATTTTTAATATCAAAATAACAAGTTCAATTGAAAATTAAACTAACTTAATATAAGATGAATGTTGTTTTTTTAAGTTTTAAGGATTACATGATTTCAAACAAATATAGAACTTCTATCAAATATCTATTTTGCAGATTTGCATAACTAAATCAACAACAAAAGTTGAATATTTTGCAATAGCAAAAACAACAAAGTAATTATAAAGTTGAAGAAAATTATCAACAAGATAAAATCAAAACAAAAGTTTATCAATATTCATTGTGATAGTCATAATGCATTACATCTTGCTAAGAATTAAGTGAAATAGAGTAAATTACTTGATGGTGCTCCAAGAAAACTCAAAACACTTGAAGTAACCCAACAAGTTTTATTTTACCCGATGGAATCCCATTAATGATCATTGCAACCCATCATCAATGATTAATCCAATAAGATCTAGAATTATTTCAGTTTGGAAGATGAAGTCCGGCAAAACCACATCAAAAGTACTTTAGTATCTAAGTCTGAAGCATTCATGATCACAATAAAATTCGAAATGATAAAGACGGTGAGTTGGATGGTAAAGATGATCAAATTGAGTACTTTGACATGGCTACGAACTACAAATATATGATGTTTGTTGCTTTCGAGCTAATTGATCAGAGCTCAAATTTTCACTTTCTGATTCAATCGGATTTTGGAAACATAGTATACGCTTAGTAAGCCAGATAGATGAAAATTCTTGAGTAAATACGCTAATTGATTGATTGATTGGAATGAAGAACAAACAAAACGAAGTCTCTCTGTACAATTTTTCTTTTGCATCTTGTCTTGTATTGTATCTAAGGTACATGCTTGCAGTATGCTATCAATGTTTGATGGTTGCACTAGTGCTGTAAATGACAAGCGAATAAACGAATGAACAGGATCAGAAGATTGCTACTACTCATGATCTCGTCGCTAGTTAGAAAAACTTTTATTGAAATAAGATCGACGATGATTTGTATGACCCTTGATTGAAATACCATCATGTAAAATGAGACTTATCGGATCCCATCAAGAAGTTTGAGTTTTCCTGGGTCCCATCAAATAATATCTTAAGTGGAATACAGCAAAATGAAACACTTTAATATCACAAGTCTCGTCATGAAATATGTAATTATTTATAGATTTTTTAACATAAGTTTGAGGTAGTCAAGATTGACAATAGATTTAATTTATTTGATGTATTGATCAAAGTTATACCTTTCAAAATTTTTAACAAACATTATGTAATTTTTTAAATTTTGCATGAGCATAAATGGATTTATTAGAATTATTATTAAATATTAAATATATTACCTTTATAAATAAATTTTATGTTTTGACTACGGATTAGTTCTAATGGAAAATTTTGCACCAGCACAAAAATTGGTTCCAAGATTTGAATGTGAGATTTGACGACCAAAAATTCCAAATTTGCAAGAAAGATATACAAATAATGGAATGGTCTAAGAAGAAATGAGAGTTCGTGACAACCGTTAATGCTATGCATGTTGAAGAATGTATCACATTGTTAAATTTTGCTGAATTTGAAGGGCAAAACTATGGAGGGTATAAAGTTTAAAGAAATTAAGATAGTGGTTTTGAAAAACAAAGATAATCAATAAACTTGTCAATGGTTGAAAACTCATGAAAAAAATAAGAAAGAAGCCCAAATTATTGTAAGATATGATTTGCTGGAAGTATACAATGTGAGAATTTTGATTGGTCCTTGAACAACAGAGGATTATCTATCATAGAATGTTGCTATGAAGTTAGGTTTAATGTTGATTAATATCGTAGGTGAAGAACTTGAATTGTCAAACAAGCAAACTGAAATAGAAAAACATAATTTTTGAGTGTAGAATTGTCTATAATTAAATACAAGGAAAGCATTGAATGGAGAGTAATTTGCTTAGCTCAATATGATGTCATACTTGAAATGTCATGGATATAACAATATAATCCGGAGGAAGATGGAAAAAGAAAAATGATAACAAGAAGTGGTTGGAAGATCTATGAAAATAGAAGTATCTACCATGATAGAAATTTAACTCTTTTTGTAATGAATAAACATAATTTTTTAAAGATTATGTTTATTTGTTTGGAAGTAAAAGAGATATTGGATCCACAGACAAACTTTATATCCAAATTCCTTGACATTTATGAAGTATAAAGATGTTTTTCTAGATCAACTAATTTTAGTATTATCATCAAAGATTCAAATGTATCATAAGATTTAAGATGATATTTTAACCTACATCAACTTGCAAAGCTCCATATCATTTGTCTCCAAACAAATTAGAAAAAATGCAAAGCTCAAGTGAAGTAGATATTTAACCAAGATTACATTCA